AATGCCCCGCCAAAGTGCAGAAATGCACCGTCAAGGGATGTGGAGAAACGGTCAGGAGAAAGGACAGGAAAAAGCACCAGGATGAAAATATGTCCCGCCACTACAGCCTCCTTAAAGAGGAAAACGAACGCATTCTTTGGAGTGCCAGCAAGATGGTGAGTTTGCCCGAAATGTCCATTTCTAAAATTATATGCTATGCTATGCACCTATCAAGAATTTTATTGAAAGGAGACATTTCAACGAAACCTCTTAACAGAGTCTCTAGAGTGAAATTATAGAATCTGTAACCCGAAATGTTTTGTTACAATTACTACAAACTTAAAAACGAGAAGCTGAATAAATAACGTCATTACATAGTCATAGAACCATTGCGAACGGCACTATAACATGTATTGAATGCTCAGAAAGAAATTATAGCATAAGTTGTCAGACAGGCAGACGGATGTAGTCATTAAGTTAAGCAACCTGAATTTCGCGAAATACGTAATAAACATTGCTCAGTACCCAAACTAAGCGTGAAAAAAGATAGCCCTTACACAACAACTGAAAGTCTCTGCTAACAAGACAGTTGACTTTACTTTACAGGGGCACCCAACGGGAAATTTTGAGAAAAAGACCTAAAAACAACTTACAACAAAGCTTGAATAAAGCTTTCTGAAGCCATTTTAAGCATTTTGAGTGATTGCTGGGAAAAATTTATCTGTTCCTCACTCCCCGCGCAGAGAAAAAGAAAGCAGTTTGTTTGTAACAAACGTAAACTTGCTTTTTGCGAAAATTTAAAACGTTGGGGGAACGTTACGTCCACAATTTTGTTTCGAGGAACACTCGCGTCATTCTCATTTCTGAAGCTTTGATTAAAACGAAAACCGATTATGGCTCTTTTTTCGCATTTGCCTATGAATCACAATGAAGTTCTTCGTTGCCAGATAGTTGCAAAAAGAAAAAAATGATTCGCTGTTTTAGCCGACAGTGTACATAGAGAGGTAATGCACCTTGGAAACTCCTCCAGTTCCCCCTATGTTTTTTCGTGCTTTCAAATAAAAACAAGCATAACAATTGTCCTGCTGATATGGGATTTCATCCAAGAAAAATGTTGTTAACGCGTCCTGTGTTCCTTTTTTTCACAGAAGTGGCTTCATGTTAAGACACGAAGAACAGGTGAGGCGGGAGCATACAGATGGAGCATCCCGAACTGCTACGGCGACATATGCTCGTCAAGCTTTGAGATGTGGGGCCGTAAGTGGCGACTGTTCTGCCTACGACGAGGAGGCATCATCCAATACGGCCTTGAAAATGAAGAGGGAGACAGGCCTATCCACTTGTCAGTGAGGTACGTTTGCATGCAGCAAATTCTTAAAGGGACACACCGTCCTGTCTGAAATTTATATTATACTCTGTAAACCTTAAGTGGCGCAGTGGGGGCTAAGGGGATAAGGGATGGGAGTGGGATGTCTGTGTTGCGACCTGTTCAGCTAACTCGTTTTTCTCTCTTTGCAGTTTCATCGTCGAGAGCAGCAGTGGGGGTAAAGAAGTATATAACATACCCGTTTTGGAGTTTAAGAAGGGGCAGATGACCGAGCAAACTAAGACGGGCAGTATGCCTAAAACCATCACGGTCAATATGGAATTGTTAGAGCCGAGCTGTACTAAAGATTCATAACTTCTCAAGTAGACAGGGACACCCAACGACAATTTTTGGAGAATATCTGTTCGGAAGACGATTTGAGATCTAGAATTTTCGGAACATTTGTTGTAAAATTTCTTGCTTGCTTTCCCCTCCTAGGATTTTCCAACATCTAAAAAATGGTATAATTGCCCATTTTAAACGGATTTTTACCCTAAAAAGGTCACCTAGAATTTTCGGGAGCCTTTTTTCTGGCTGAAATTTTCGAAAAGGTAAGTTTTGATCACTAGACTTTCAGCTAGGAAATCCGAACAGCTGAAAAATTTTTAGGGGATGAAAATATGCCTATATGTACCATTCAAATACTAAAATACGTTCAACAATGCTGTGTTTAAGTGGTTTTGAACTATATTCTCGTTGGGTGCCCCTGAGTAGAGGCCTGGGTCTAAACAGACTTCTCAGAATTTATAAATATTTCAGTGATGTAAGTTAGTTTCAAGGCCGATCATAACCTAGAGGTTTTCAATTTCATGTTTAGTTAGAAATTGCGGATCACTCACCGTTTCTGGGAACCGAGTCATCTTTCTACCGACGCTCAAAAATAAATAAATAGACGCGAAGGCTCCTCAAGACTCGACGAGGACGTCTCGACTTCACTTTATGACCTTACGAGGATAACTCTATAACACAGGATGACTCGCCGAGGATGACTCGATGAGGCACCATTACTTGGCGA